GAAGTCCCAGCCACTCTGCTGTTCTAAGGATCTTGTCTGGGATGGGATTCCCAAACGCTTACCATCTATGCAGCAGCCCAGATTGGAGTTCTAAAAATGTGAATCTCCAAACTTGATTCAGGAGTCTGGGTCCAGATAAAACCTCCAATATGGGGACTTGGGCTTGGGTCTTTTGCCCATGTTGAGAATCTGTCACAGAGATCTTGGCAATCACAATTTCTTTAGTGTTAAGTGAGGATAGAAAGGAGGTTTTTAGAGTTTAAATATTTTTTTTTAAATTGTCTTTAGCATCTTATCAGAAAGGATTAGTGGTTGGAAAACTGCCAAGGATGCCTTGACTTTGGATGGGACATAGTAGGGAAGGGGCAAGAGGTAGAGATTCTTTTCACACTTAAAAGGAATCCTTGCCACTTCTTATTTTTTATTTGCATTAGGGTAAAACCTTGCAAAAACTCACAACCAGCAAATTCAAGCTTGGAAGAAACAAGGAGATTAAATGCTTAGTTTCTGTAAGAGTCAAGAGCTAAGTCTGAGAAAACAAAAATCAAGAGGTGGGCTAATGCAAGAACAAATCCCCAAATGCCTGAGAAGATGCCGATCTTGACAGGTTAGTCTATGAGACAGCCCTTAACCTTAATTTCTAATTCTCCATGGATCCTACACTCCAACCATATTAATCATTTATGGTTCCCCAAACTCATCTTGACAGTTCTCTTTATATAAACTGGTTCCTCTTCCTGCATGTCTGCCTCTCCTTTGATTACCTGGAAAATATCTCCTCATCCTGCAAAACCTAATCCACTCATTTCCTCATTTAACCCCATCCTCTCTCCCCATCACTCTACCTTGGGTATAATTATTCTATTTTAACATTCAACATATCACATTTCAATTATTTGTTTTCATGAGTCTCCTTTACAAGACTGGGTATACTTGAGGCTAGGGTCTATGTCTGATTTGTCATTGTATCCTAGCATAGGGCCTCATACAGAGGAAGCACTTAGTAGATGTTTGCCAAATGAGTAAAAATAATGGTTGATGGACCATCTAACACAGATTATGCAAAATGATGAAACCTGATAATTGCAATACAGGTTAATATATTGTTATATTATATTATGGTCTTCCTTAGGCTGATGACCTGCATTCTTCGGGCATAAAATACCCACTAAATTGAGTAATTTTGACAGCAGTAGTTTTTGATAGTAGTAATAACAGACATTTATATAGTGCTTACCATTGCAGGCAATATTCTAAGTTTGTACATATGTTGAAACATTTAATTTTCACAACAATCCAATGATGTAGCAGCTACTACTATTCTTATCTTACAGTAGAGAAAACTGTAAAGCACACAGAGGTTAAATAAATTGCCCAAGGGCACACAGCTAGTAAGGTACACTGTTTGGAATCAAACCCAGGCAGTCCGGCTTCAGATTCTATGCTCTTGACCACTATGTTATGCTTTCTAGATATGACAACAGAAATTCTACTAATTTCTGTACTCCAAATTTGCACTTTAACAATTCCAGCCTTTCTTGATGTTGCACATGCCACTAGTGATTATTTCACTAAGAAAGCATAAGTATTTAAAGAATAATTGTGGTGCAATTAAAATTAGTATTTTATGGGCCGGCCCGGTGGCGCACTGGATAGTGCGCCGCTTGGGAAGCGCGGCAGCGCTTCTTTATATAAACTGGTTCCTCTTCCTGCATGTCTGCCTCTCCTTTGATTACCTGGAAAATATCTCCTCATCCTGCAAAACCTAATCCACTCATTTCCTCATTTAACCCCATCCTCTCTCCCCATCACTCTACCTTGGGTATAATTATTCTATTTTAACATTCAACATATCACATTTCAATTATTTGTTTTCATGAGTCTCCTTTACAAGACTGGGTATACTTGAGGCTAGGGTCTATGTCTGATTTGTCATTGTATCCTAGCATAGGGCCTCATACAGAGGAAGCACTTAGTAGATGTTTGCCAAATGAGTAAAAATAATGGTTGATGGACCATCTAACACAGATTATGCAAAATGATGAAACCTGATAATTGCAATACAGGTTAATATATTGTTATATTATATTATGGTCTTCCTTAGGCTGATGACCTGCATTCTTCGGGCATAAAATACCCACTAAATTGAGTAATTTTGACAGCAGTAGTTTTTGATAGTAGTAATAACAGACATTTATATAGTGCTTACCATTGCAGGCAATATTCTAAGTTTGTACATATGTTGAAACATTTAATTTTCACAACAATCCAATGATGTAGCAGCTACTACTATTCTTATCTTACAGTAGAGAAAACTGTAAAGCACACAGAGGTTAAATAAATTGCCCAAGGGCACACAGCTAGTAAGGTACACTGTTTGGAATCAAACCCAGGCAGTCCGGTTTCAGATTCTATGCCCTTGACCACTATGTTATGCTTTCTAGATATGACAACAGAAATTCTACTAATTTCTGTTCTCCAAATTTGCACTTTAACAATTCCAGCCTTTCTTGATGTTGCACATGCCACTAGTGATTATATCACTAAGAAAGCATAAGTATTTAAAGAATAATTGTGGTGCAATTAAAATTAGTATTTTATGTCTGATTTTCCATTATTTTTCTAGGCATTGGTTAAATTAGGGCAGGACCTTCAGGTAAACCAAACAGAGAGGAAACAAAGGAAGGTGCAAAAGAATATGCCATTCCTTCCAAGGCTCTTTTTTTCCTTTTTGTTGTGCTACACACTGTATTCTTTTATATCTGGCCGGATTAGCATACATTTATTTTATGCAGAATGCCCCAACACTGTAAGCTAAAAAGCCTTCAGAACACTAATGGAAATCACATCCTTTTTTCTAAGTGTATATGCTAACAAAAACTGTAAAGCCTGCAATTACAAAACACTCATGCTATTCCACTCTGTTGGCTGGTCCTTGTGTGCTATACAACAATATGAAAGCTATGGCAGTGGACTTATAGAGCAATAAAGAACAATACTCTCTCATATATCTGATTGTGTTTGTCTCAGTGGTTTTCCTTTGGAAACAACAATTTTGAGTCCCCATTCGTCATGTCCTGAACATAAAAATTCCACACATCTCTGAAACAGCATTTTCACTGTGTTGACAAGAGTATTACAAGAAAAGTGAGCAAAGAAAGAAAACCATGTTTTCCATCCAGATAAATGGAAAAGCTGGATTAGAGAGAAGTGTGCCTTTTGACTAAGTCTGGCAATGTCATGAGGTCGAATGATTTATGACTATGACCAATATTGCTGCAAGATTGCAGGGGACTCACTCACAGAGGTACACTACAGAGTGGCTGGAATAACTTGTTTGAATAACAGCCAGTTGGATACAATTTTGGACTGTAGAGCAAAGGAAATACCAAGACCTTTGGATTTCAACCCATCTACATCTCAATATTTTATATAAACAGATGAGATAATCACCTAGTATATGTTTTCCTTGGCATTTACTGTTGTTGTTGTTTTAAATCTTAATGGTGCCAGCAAGCATTTAATAACTCAAGGATGTGAATACAAAATACTTATTTTTCCATCAGTTTAGTTCTACCATGAAATTTTAAAGTTATCATGCTTTTTAAAGGAGCACCTTTATCAAAATTGGGAGCAAATATCTTCATGAGCATGCTTTAAAACACTGTGTCATGAGATACAAGTTTATACAAATGGCTTCTTAAATATTCTGATGATGAACACAGCCACTCAAGTGTTGGGCCACTGCCCAGTTTAACCAATAGACACAAAGTAATGGGTTCCCTTTATCTTAGTATTAGTGTAGAGTACAATTCCCAACCGTGTCTCATTCATTCATTTACTGTTTGATTCATTATGCAAATATGTGTTGAGCTCTACCATGTGCCAAGTACTGCTGTTTGGGGCTCTGGGGGATATAGTGTAAGCAAGACAAAGTCCTGGCCCACATGCAGCTTCTACTCTAGAAGAGGATACAGTAAAACAGCTGAAGAAATAAATATACAAGGGTACTTCAAAAAAGTCATAGAAGGCTGGCCCGTGGCTCACTCAGTAGAGTGCGGTGCTGATAACAGCAAGGCCACGGGTTCGGATCCTATATAGGGATGGCCGGTTTGCTCACTGGCTGAGCGTGGTGCTGACAACACCAAACCAAGGGTTGAGATCCCCTTACCGGTCATCTTTAAAAAAAAGAAAAAGTCATAGAAAAATAGAATTAAAAGATAATTCAAATTTTTCCATGAACTTTTTGAAGGTACCCTCCTATACTATGTATGATAGCAGGTAGGCAAGGGCCAGATCATGTCGGGCCTTGCTACTCTAAGTGTGGTCTGGGGATCAGCAGCATCAGCATCACCTGGGAGTTTGTTAGAAGTACAGAATCTCAGGCCCTGCCCTAGACCTACTGCATCAGAATCTGCATTTTAACAAGGGCTCTAGGGGATTCTTATGCACTTTGAAGTTGGAAAAGTGCTAAAGTCAGGCAGTTATTTCCAACCCTGGGTATATATTAGAATCACCTGGGGAGAATTTAAAATTGATACCCTGGCCTCACTTCCAGAGATTCTGATTTAGGTGTTCTGGGGAGGGTCCCAGGTGGTGAAATGTTTTACAGTATCCCCAGGAGAGTCTCATATGTAGCCAGGTTGAGGAATCCTAAAGCAGGCTGTATTCTGGAGGTGATGGGAAGCCCCAAGAGGACTGAGATCAGAGGAGTGATGTGACCTGATGTACATAAAGGAGGAATTCTTAACCTTAGCTGAGCAGCTGAGGCAAAAAGGACTAGGTCTTCCACCTCTTCACCTGACAGAATGACAGCCTGCTCTGCAAGATGGGGATCAGGATGTGATGTGGCCACCACATCGAGCACTGAAGTTAAACCTCATATACTTCGCTGGTTTACAGGTAGTAAATAACTCCATCTGCAGGGAGGAAACCACAAAGACATCCATATTAGAGCTAAGGTCAAAGCCAAATACAGTCAATTTCTCTCTCTTACATACCTGGGGACCTTTACTTCCCAGACCTCCTTTTTCTCCTTTCACACCAGCTTCTCCTCGTGGGCCCTAAGTACACAGAATTAAAGCATTATTTTCTCCTTAGAAGAGAACACTTGAATATTAACTTGAATATTAAAAGTGGAGGCTAAGTCAGTGACATGGACAGAAGTTGGAAAGAGAGCTCCCATTATGCCTTCAGTTCTGCCTTGATCTGTTGAGCTCTCCCTCATCTGTGCAGGGATATGAAATCTGGGCCACTCGGCATTTGCAGTCAAAGTGACTGAGGCTTGGAGGAAATACTGAACAGTTGGACTTTTCAGAATTGCTTTCTAATTACCCTAAGTATCTTCATACTCTAAATCCCTACATTTCTTATGTCCAAAAGAAAAGACTCCTTAATTATATAATTTCAAAAACAAAATATTTAAATGGATTTTCTATTGAATAACCACACCAAAGACTCATCATAAACAAGATATGGCATGTGATAAGATAAAATTTGGATATTTCTACTTCTGAAATATTATTTTGCTTATTAGTTGTAGTTTTCATACATTATACAGAGAAACCTTCATGCTCTGTTTGGTTTTTTGCTTCTTTTAAATTGTCATGAAAAAAACTAAGGGTCTATGAAATGGAAGAAGGGATGCTGTAGTATTACTTGTTTAGCAAAAAATAAAGCCAGTCAATCTGTTGAAAGGCTCCCCCACACTCCAGTGGCAACTATTTTCACTTGAATGCAAGAAAAATGAGCTTTCTCTAGCTGGCAAATAATAGATGCTGTAGTATTACTTGTTTAGCAAAAAATAAAGCCAGTCAATCTGTTGAAAGGCTCCCCCACACCCCAGTGGCAACTATTTTCACTTGAATGCAAGAAAAATGAGCTTTCTCTAGCTGGCAAATAATGACAAAGAAAAGCAATCAAACTAGAAAGAGATAGAGGTCCAGGGGAAAGACCGTTTACTGCTCTGAATTCTTGGTAAAATGCAGACAAAGTTTCTCTTTTGATGTTTAAGGATATTTTGCCCAACTTCCATGCATCAGGCTGCCAACATATAATAGTTATGTTTATTTTTTTTTTTTTTAACTATGTGGACTAAAACTGAAAAATAGCAGAACCATTGATTGCCCTGCATATGCCAAACAGCACACTTATTTCTCAAGCTTTCAAAACTAATTTTGGAGAGGAAAAACGTTCTAACTTTTTGTGGTCTGACCTTCTTTCTTTCCTCTCAGCATTTTCTAGGACGTCCTTTCCTTTCTCATTATTTTTTTAGGTTACATTTTGCCTCTCTGGCACATACTTTCTTTCCCCTCACTCGATCAGTATAAAGAGCCAGTTATGGCCTGTTCCTTGCAAAGGAAACAGTGCTTGAGGCGCTGCCTGGACAAGTGAGCTAGAGAAGACAGGCTGGGTGCCACACTATAGATCAGCCTGCTGAAGACGCCAGCTGTGTTTGGAACAATTCTTTCCTAGAGTAGAGCCAACTTTTGTACATCATGGGCATCCAGATATTAATATAATAACACTGAGTTATTACTGCACTAGATTGATCACAATGCCCAGATCTGAGGCTCAACATTTTCTTTGACTCAAGTTCTCCCTGGAATACACTAACTGGCCCGAACCCCTCATACAGGGACAGCTGCCCACCGCATTCATTCCCTTCTTACTTCTCGAGTGGGACAAAACTCAGAAAATACTTTAAACATGTATCTATCAAGGCTTCAGATTCTCCCACTCTCAGATTCTTCTTTGTGTGCTCACACCCTAATTGGTCTTGATATGTACCTGAGGCCCCTTAAGCCCCAGTGAGCCTTCAAGTCCATCTGGGCCTGGGACGCCGGTTTTTCCCTGTGGTGAGAAAGAATCAAACTGTTAACACTGTTTTCTGAGAATTCTGTTTCCTTTGTGTGCAAAATTATAAGTATTTTTAAAATCACAATGGCAATGTAGGATCTTTGCAAGAATTGTAAAAAATAAAGGCAAATGCAAAGAAGAAAATAAAAACCTATAATTTCATCAAGCAGAGATAAACACAGCTAGTATGTTGGTATATTTCCTCCCAGTCTTTACACATATGCATGTACATACATACACACACCTTCTTTTTCAATATAATTTATATTTTATTATATCTAACTTGTGTATGTGATCTGCAGAAAATTCACCATTTACTCCATGTTTTCTTTAAACATCACCAGGCATTTTACAACACTACATTTATATTCAAATGTATTAAATATCTAGGGATCAAAAGATAAGTATGCTCTTCACATTGTTCTTAGACTCCGCCACAGATAAGAATTCCAAAAAGAGTAAGAAAGGACTAAGAAAGTTTAATTTACTCAAATATTAGGACAGTTTAAGTTTATATTTGAGTTGTCATACTAGTATAGTTGAGCGCGATTAAATGTCCTTCACTAATACATTTTTCCTAGAAATCAGAAGAAAGTTCTTAACACCTTCTCTCTGTAATCTCATTTCATTTATTTTATGCCATTTTTCTGGGTTTTCTCTCCTTTTTGTTGAAGTCTAACCTTGAAGTAGTGCTATGGTCTGAATATGTGTGTCCCTCCAAAACCTATATCTTGAGACTTAATCTCCCGTACAGTAGTATTAAAAGGTGAGGACTTTGGAAGGTGACTAGGTCACAGGGGCAGAGCAGAATGGAATTGGTGCCTTTATAATGAAACTCAAGGAAGCTGTTAGCCCCTTCAGCCATGTAGGGACATGGCAAGCATGTGCCCCCTTTGGAGCAGAGTTCTCACCAGACACTGAATCTGCTGGTGCCTTGATCTGGGACTTCCCAGCCCCTAGAACTATAAGAAAAAAAATTCTATTGCTTATAAATTACCTACCTTGGCTGGCCAGCTAGCTCAGTTGGTTAGAGCATGGTGTTATGTAAATTACCCAGCCTGTGATATTTTCTTAGAGCAGCAGGATGAAGTAAAACAAAGTATGTGTGTTGTAATGTCTGTGGATGGTCAACTCTTCATCTGTCTGAAAGTGTCTATTTTATATTTATTCATAGTTTAACTAGGTATAAAATTCTAGCTAACCAATTATTTTTCCTCTATATCTTCAAGATATCACTCTGTTGTGTTCTGGCATGTATTACTGTTGAACAGAATCTGCTGTGATCTAATTTGTCATTCCTTTCATGAATAAAACTGTCTTTTCTTCTTTTCACTTTGATAATTTTTAAGGATTTTTGTTTGTTTGTTTGTTTTTTAATCTTTAACATTCTGGAGTTTTACCATGATGTGACTGAAGTGAATTTATTATTTATCCTCGTATTTTTTTTCTTTTTCCTTTTTGTCTTTTTTCGTGACCGGTAACGGGATCGCAACCCTCGGTGTCGCACCCGCACCGCGCTCAACCAGTGAGCGGACCGGTCTCTATATGGGATCCAAACCCTCGGCGGGAGCACCGCCACACTCCCAAGCGCCGCACTCTACCGAGTGCGCCACCGGGCCGGCCCTATCCTCGTATTTTTAATCTCAGGATGTGAGTTTTGTAAAATTATAGGTCACAACTGCTCTTTTATAAATATTGTAGGTTCATGAAGCATGTATAATGTATCACCAACATGTGCAAAAGGGATATGATTTGGCTTTTTGGCTAGCCGACTTTTCAAACAAAACATTCAGAATTTACAATTTGTATTAGAACTTTATCGTATTCTCTTGGTTTATATGGGGTTACGCAACTTGTAAGTAAGGTTTCAGAGCTAATTGAACAAAACTCTAAAGGAAAGGTCACCCACTGAATTATTAAGATTTTGTACCTGAAATCCAAATGAAGTTAAATTTTACAATAATTGGGCTAAATACTGTCTCTGGTCATTAGTTTTTATGGTTTTTGATTAAAATGCCCAAATTTTCATTTTAAGATCTGAATTCTTGAAATTGTGGCCTAAAAGTTTTCTAAAATTTTACTTCATAACCAATATCACCAAAAAGCAAAATAAGGTTAGGCTTGGAAGAGACTTTACAGAGCCTTTATTCCAGCTGCTTGATTAGACACAGAATATTTATCACTTTAAGAAAAATAAATCACTGTACCTGTGGGCCTGTAAGTCCTCTTTGGCCATGAGCTGCCTAAAATAGGAGGTAAAAGTAGATATCATTAATTTAGAAAAAATGCTTTTTATTTTTGATTTAAATTAGTAATGGACACCTTAAGGCACTGACATAAATAAAAGTTCCCATGCCGTGCTTAAAACATTCAATTATCCACTGCACCATGAAAGCAAAATGTTATCAACTCTGAATTTCTATTTTAGGGCAATAGGTAATTGAAATCATAGACAATTGAAATCTACAGATACTTATGAGAACAGATTCTGCTCAACAATTCATCCTCCACTAACCTTTTACTAGAGCTATTCATAAGCTGAAAACTTGACTGACTTGTATTTTCTTTTCATTTTCCCCAAGCACCACCAAGTAAGCCAGAAATCAGGAGTGGACTAGCCAAAAGGCAGGAAGCCAGAGAAAAAACAGAATTGACTCCCTGAACTTTATAATAGATTAAATTCAAAAATTAAAGATAGCCAAATTAATTTTATTTTTAAAAAGCCAAATAATATGCTTACTGTCAGAAATGATTCATTCATTCTAAGCATGCAAGTTACTCAATTCAGTATGTTAATAAAACATCCAATCAAAACAATGGTGCTATACAATCAAGTGGATTTCTCCTACTATTCTCATATATAAGGGTGAGGATCTAGGTATATTCCAGATCAATAGTTCATAGATCTGGAAATCAAGAGACAATGGTATTTTGTTGTCTAACTTAGGATCACTTGGTAAGGTTGTAGCAAGACTGACATCTGGGATTTGCAAAATTCAGTAAACATCAAACAACATCATTTTGATAGAAATTGAAATGTTGTCTGAGAGGCCAGTATAGTAGACTAAATTCCGCTAATCATATTTTAGGCACAATTCATTGTTATCTAAGAAATAGATTGTATTTGGGGAAATAAAGGCCTATTTCTTTAAAACACTGATGAGTCATTTTGAGATGAAAGTCTAAATATTCTCCCTCAGAGGAAGGAAAAGAAGTTGTTTCCACTCCTTTAGCACAAAGATTTCTGTTCTAATTCATTTCAGTTTCATCCAGAGAACTATGTACCAGTAGTATTCTCATTCAGAAGAATATCTACTACCACAAAGCATATTGGATGCGAACCACGGGAGAATAAAGATGACACACACACACACATGATCCTTTACTTCAGGGGACACCCCCTCTTTAAGTTTGGGAGGAGGAGATAAATATTCCAAATAACAAGGCAAAGTATGGCAAATGCCATAAGAAAGGGGAAGGCAGAAATACGAGCTTCAAAGAAAGCAATATATCCACTTGGTCAAATCGGGAAAATCTTCCTGGAGGAAGAGGCTTTTGAGATGGATTTCAAAGGATTGGGTTGTAGTCTTACAGGCAGAGGATGTAAGAAGTCTTTCCAGCAGAAGCACAGCATAAGGAATGACATAGAGGCAGGAAAGTAGAAAGTGCATTTGGTAGTGGCAATTAGGCCATGTGGGTGAAAAGTGTGAGAAGAGAGGGAAGCAGCAGGAAGACCAGGTTGATGTGTTCCTACTACATTTAGCAGAAGCTTCCCGGGTTCTCAGAGCAGGAAACATACATGGTGAGACCCAGTGAATACATCTGGCTGTCGTAGGAGGAACTGAATGGATCCTTATACTCAGGCAAAATAAAGAGCTTCCACTATTGTGTGATTAGGGTTCTCGGAGCAGGAAACATACGTGGTGAGACCCAGTGAATACATCTGGCAGTCGCAGGAGGAACTGAATGGATCCTTATACTCAGGCAAAATAAAGAGCTTCCACTATTGTGTGATTTAAGAGATGTGGAACAGACCTCCACATTCAAAAATCTTTCTCTGGTTCACAGTCATGGTGTTTGAAACATCATCAACAAACATTTACTACCTTGTGTCCTTAAGGTTTGATTTTGAAAGGGCTTGATTCAATGAATTATGACAACATGTGCTTACTGAATTCCTGCGCTCTTCGAGGTGCTGGACTGTGGTGGACAGCAAGGCCTGACTCCTGTCCCTAGCTGGGAGTTCATAAGCCAATGGAGGAGACAGACTTTCATCTACCATTCACACAAATAATGGAAACGTCTCCAAAATTAATCATCTAGCACCTCTGTTAATGGCTACTTGGGATTTAAGCTCCAAATGAAAGTCATGAGAGACTTACCTTGGGTAGGAGTGAGAGACAAAAAGAAAGCAAGGATATAGGGGAGATGATTCTGCAATTTTACCTATAATTTTCAAATGTCCTACATGGGAAAATGAAATCCCAAAATGTCTTAATGGTTTGTCCAATGGCTTACAGATATCTGGTAATACATATAGACAACCTGACTTGCCTTTAAAGGGAATATGGATGGGCACATCAGGAAAGGAAATCTCCCCAAAAGGACCCGAGATGAAGATGACCCAGAACAGAGTGTGCAGCTCCTTAGCGCCCCCTAGACTGACTTTGTGGTGGTTCACCAGGGCCTAATTTCCTGGATAGGTGTGGACCGATTTGGGACAGAGAATCACCAAGAAAAAAGCAGGACATTCTTAATGGTAAAACATCACATTAATATGGAGTCTTAATGGAAAACTCATTCACAATGACTGTCCTAGAGCCCTTCAGGATGCCTCTAAAGTAGGCCACAAGGGATGGAATCAGCAAGGCATAACTATCAGCCCTCTGGACTGAACAGGAGTGAAGACCATGCTTTGGTTTGATGCTACAGTTACTTCTCATTATCCCTGGAATCTATCATTACGCCAAGAACCTATTTAAAACCCAGCAAAGTCTGGCTCAGAAAGAGCCAACCCCCTCCCCCCACCCATCTTCCCCATCGACCCCCCAGCACTGCTGCTTTCAGTCCCTGGTTCTTTCTGCTTGCTACACCCGCACTGCCAACACATCCATTATAGTCTCCTGGCACAGCACTGATAACAGCTTACTAACCCTGCAGGTCTGTCTCCTACAACAGTGGTTCTCAACTGGAAGAGGGGGGTTTAGTGCCCCCTCTTCCTCAAGAAACATTTAGTAATGTCTGCAGACATTTTTGTTGTCACAAGTCAGGGTTGCCACTGGCACCTAGTGGGTAGAGGCCATTGATGGTATTAACATCCTGCAATGCACAAGGCAGCCCCACACAACCCTCTAGAGGCTATAAAACAATAAAAATATATCCTTACATATTAGGATTTCCTGGATGATACTCTTTAAGTTGATAATATTTTCCAGGCGTATGTAAGCTCACTACATCCTTTTAGAAAGCAAAATTAAGAGCAAGTAAATTTCTTTATCCTTATATGCATTAAAGTATTAAAACAGTGCTAGTAAAGTGCTTTCCCAGCAATTGAATTCTGTACATTTTTAACAGTAATCTCTGTTCTTATTTCCATTTTCTGTGCCTTGCAAAGAAGATGTGCGTGCTTCAAGATACAAAAATATTTTCCTGATGGGGAATAATATCTACTTCTATGAACTTCTGTTCAGAAAATACAATGAGTAATAAATGCAATATGCTAAATTAGTCTC